CCCCCCCCCCCCCCCCCCCCCCGTATTGAGTTGCCCCATTGGGAAAGCAGAACACGAGACTTTGGTGTCCTTAAGACACACGGCTTGCAAAACGCCTGTCTCCCAAACTCTGGTTAATCCTGAGCCCTTTTCTCTTTCTCTCCTCTTCAAGGTTGTGACGGGAAGAAAAGAGCAATATTCCCAGGGTGCAACTTCGGATGTTTGGGTAAGAACCCGTCATGGCAGGTGGGAATAAACTTGGAGACCAGGCAGGGATGCTTCCACAGGGACAGTCAGATAAGGGATCCTCCGGCGGAGGGAAGTTTTGCAGGGAGAAAATATTTTTTGAAGGATCAATATAGCTTCTCTTTTCTTGGTAAACAGGCTCAGAAACGACACAATGACTCATGTCCAGGGATTTTCCGCCTACCCCTCCCTCCCCTGGATTTGAGAATGCCCCATTTGGGAACCATTAGCTAATTCTCTGATAACTTCCACATGACTTCAAAAATGCCTGCTTCTTAAATTCCAGTAAATTCGTGGCCTTTTTCTCTGTCCTGTGCAGTTGTTACGGGGAAGAAAAGAAAAATATTCACTGGGTGCAACCTTCAGCTGCTTGGGCAGGTGGGAATGACCTTGGCAAACAGGTGGCAAAGAGCAGGTGAAGAGATGCTGCCCCCGGGATCAGGCAGATAAGAGGCAGCTGAGCCCACAGCTGCACAATGGATGGAGGAGGAGGCTCAGAAGGGACCTTCCCTAGTTTCTCGGGCTGTAAAGGAGACAGTGGAGATTTGTACTTTCAGATGCGCTAGATTCTATTAATGTAGCTTTAGGCCACCGGCAGATAAGAGGCAGCTGAGCCCTCGGCTGCACAATGGATGGAGAAAGAGGCTCAGAAGGGACCTTTGATAGTTTTTCAGGCTGTAAAGGAATGGGGGGAGAATTGTACAGGTAGTCCTTGACTTACGACCACAATTGAGCTCCACATTCATGTTGCTAAGTGAGACATTTGTTAAGTGAGTTTTGACAGTTGAACCATAAGGAAGCCTGAGCACCAAAGAATGGAGGCCTTTGAACTCTGGTGCTGGAGAAGACTCCTGTGAGTCCCTTGGACTGCAAGGCNAGATAGATAGATAGATAGATAGATAGATATGATAGATGATGATAGATAGATATGATAGATGATGATAGATAGATAGATAGATAGATAGATAGATAGATAGATAGATAGATAGATAGATAGATAGATATGATGTGATGTAGATGATACGATAAACAGACATATAGGGTGGATTATGAACGGAAAGATTAAGATTAAAATGAATAGATGAATGAATACATGATAGATAGATAGATAGATAGATAGATAGATAGATAGATAGATAGATAGATAGATAGATAGATAGATAGATAATGACAGATCGATAGATGAATATAGATGTAGGTAGCTAGGTAGGTAGATGGTAGGTAGACATATAGCATGGATACATTATGGATGGAAAGATTAAGATAAAAATGGATAGACAGACAGAGAGACATGATATATGACAGACAGAGATAGATATAGTGGACAGAGCAACAGGTGATGGAAGGAGGGAGAGAGAGAGAGAAAGAGAGAGAGATGGCTAGATAGATAATAGATTGGTAAAGAGATCACGCAGATGAACAGACAGACCAACAGATGATGAAGACATACAGGCAGGCAGACAGACATCTGAGTCTCAAGGGGCAGCAAGACCTTCACCTAACCTCCCACACTGGTGGGACCCCAGGCTAGTTTTCCTCACTTGCCAATCATGGCCAGCTACAAACAGTGAGACTTTCTAACAAGGGAACGGACGGCCGCTCACCTGAACGGAGCTGGTCATGGTGCTGAGGGCAAAAATGGTGGCGCAGTCTTTGACGGTGGACTGACTGTCAAAGGCCCCCTGGGTGTCCATCAGCACAACAGCGACCTGCAAGCAAGAGGCAAATTTGTGAATATTTACCATTTATTGTTGGAATACAGACCTTGAATTTTCAAGAGGAAGGTTGTCAGAATATTCATGACTGGGAGAGACATGGGAACAAGGTCAGCCAATGAATAGACATAGCAACCATCAACCAATGGGAGCTTAAACAGATCTGAGTCTGTGCCGAGAATCGACACTGAAACTACTCCGTCTGCTCTGAACTCTTGAGATGAAACTAACTCTTCTCTCCTGCTTGTAACTTCCACCACATTGAAAGAATCTACTATTGGTATAGTATATTTATTCATTTATTATTTATCCAATTCAAATTCTTTTTTTTATAAAGTTTTTTAATTTTTAATTTTCAAAACAAACACAACACGTAAAATCTTCCTTCTTTACATACTGTAGAAAGTGTATCAGTTACAAAAGACTTTCGTGCATCTCAGATTCTGAATTGGTCATCACGTGTCCTCAACAGCTTGGGCCAATCGGTCCATCGACAGAATTAGCTGAGTAAGGGGATTCTCTGTCAGAGGGGGGGTGGGAGACAACCCTAAATGTCCTTCCTGAGGTCAAATATCTTTTCCAATTTTCAAATATCGTTTCCTCTCATCGAGACAAAGTGATTTTTTGTAGCAGATGCATCAAACACATTAACAAAAGCGTGTCCTTTTAAGATGCTTGGTCTTCAAATCCCCTTCCCATTTTTAAAAAAACAACGGAGGGTCTCAAAAATTGCTTTGGTTCATACAGGTTGCATTTTTCGACGTTTACCGTACTACGTTAAAAATGAAAACTGACACACTGGCAGAATCACGTGTAATCTGGAAATTAAGGAGAAACTTCCTGACAACTTCCCTCCAGAGGATGTGGGCGCTCCATCCCTGGAGGTTTTGAAGAAGAGACCGGGCAGTAAATTTGTCTGAAATGGCAGAGGGTCTTCTGCTTGAGCAGGGGGGGTTAGACTAGAAGACCTCCAAGGTCCCTTCCAATTCTGTGACTCTGTTTTGTCCAGGGGACATGCTACCCTGATGCTCCGTTCTATTTCTGCAAGATGGCATTTCCTTTTTCCCCTCCGTAACCATTCCTGCTTTTTCTTACCTTCTTCCCGTTGGGCTTCATCACGATGAAGACTTCGCTCCAGATCTGAATGCCGGTGGTCTCGGGATCGGAGCCCCCCCGCCACGAAAATCCTGTCAAGGGATCATTCTCCATCCCCAGCCAATCATTGTTGATGTCTTCTTTCTGTAGGGGGAGGGGGGAACTGTCAAAATGAGGTCTCCAAAAACCTTCTGAGAATCACAAGACCCCAAATTCCCTTTGATTATTATCCTTCCGGGCAGATTTTCTGAAATAGGACGTCCCAGACCAAAGAGACTACAGCTCCCATCGTCCCAGGGCAGCGTAGCGCTGAAATCTGAATCCACCCCCGAAGCCTGTTGGATCAATGGGAAAATATTTTTCTCTTCCCTGAGATAAGATTTTTTTTTTTCTCTTGGAGGTGGAGAAAAATCTCTTTTTTTTATTACAAAAAATAAAAAAGGAGTTTAAAAACTTTTAGAAAGAAGAGAAGGGGGGGATATTACACTTTTATGTAATAAAATTAAAGTAATAACAAGAGAAAACATGGAATAAGAATCAATGACAGATTGCAACCTAAAAATAGATGTGTACTATTATTAGAAATATGCAAGTTGATTGAATGTAATAATTATGATTAACTTTATTTGTTTTGTTTATATTGGAAGGTAAGGCGCCCGGGTGCCACATGGTTCACGCATTGATTTGATATATTTATAAAAAAATAAAAAATAAAAACTTGGAGGGGGAAAACTTTTTTCAGGACTCCATAAGATGAAAATAAGATTCGATGGGGAGGGAAATGTGGATGAGGGGGAGGCAAACCAGAACCTTCGATCAAATGAGCAAGTTACTTGGCAGAAATCTCGGAGTGATAAATACGATTTGTGTATATCTTTGGGGCCGCGAGAGGCAGGATCAGAAAGAAATGAAAAATAAGATTTGGATCCCAGTCGCTGATCCCTGAGTTCTTACTGTTAGTCATGGGAGCAAAATAGCAGCTTTGTATTAACAGAAAGCTCTTACACAATCCTGGTATGATTGCGAAGGAACCAGCGGCAAGCCATGGCTTGCTAAAAGTCGCACTTTCTAACTGGAAAGTGGCTCCCCCTTTGCTGAATTGCAGAAAATAGGCAACGGCATCGGGATTCAAACACAGTTTGTTCTTTCTCTCTAGGTGTTTCCCAACCTTGGCAACTTTTAAGGTGTGTGGACTTCAACTCCCGGAATTCCCCAGCCGATATTCTTTAAGATGGGTGGACTTCAANAGGAAGGAAGGAAGGAAGGAAGGAAGGAAAGAAAGAAAGAAAGAAAGAAAGAAAGAAAGAAAGAAAGAAAGAAAGAAAGAAAGAAAGAAAGAAATCTGAACAGTTTAGTTCCTACTGGTGCCTGACTCAGGACTTTGCAGAAGGAAAAGATTTTTTGAATTCTGGAAACTTCACCTTTTTTTGCAAACAGTCACAGAAATGACACAATGACTGTCCAGGGATTCTCCACTTTGTCCTCCCACCCCCCCCACCCCCACCCCGGGATTTGAGATGAGCCATTTAGGAACCAGAGGCTAATTCTTAAAAACACGTGACTTCCGAATGCCTGCTTTCTTAAAATTCTAGCAAACTCTTGGCCTTTTTTTTCCTCAGTTCTGTGCAGACCTGCCCCAAATCCAAATCAAAGCAGATCAGACTGCAGCTCAGAGTTACTAATAACTGCGGCTAGGATTGTATTTGCGCAAAAATTGAAAATATGAAGATATCCCTATGGATGAGAACATGATTAGGAAAATATTAAGAATGTGCAGAAATGAATAGGTGAACACCTGAAATTAAAGAGAAGGACCAATCTGATTATTATAATACATGGCCATTATTTTATCCATGGTTAGAGAATAAATATGAAAAGTGGGGAAAAAGCAAGAAGAGTGAAATAGAGAAAATGTTTTAACAAAGTTATGTAAGTTAAGAAGAGGATTGCTACGGTGTTAGGTATGGCATATATTAGGATTAAGTTCAGAATAGATAAAATAATAAATATGGCTGTAAGTTGTAATTGTTACTGTATAAAATATTTGCACAAAATATATGTACCCAGACGACACACATTGCTTAATGGAAGATGATGTTTGAATTAAAATAAAATATATATTTTTTAAAAAGTTACTTAGAAACATTTTTAAACAAATACACTAATTAAATCAGACTGCCAGGCCAAGCAAGTCTCAATATCTTTTATTTATTTATTGATATATTGACTTTGATCTCGGTGAAAGAAAGAGTGTGATGAAACATACCTTGAAATACTCCAAGAGGCCTCGGCAAGTTACTTTCGAGCCGTTGATCTCCTTTTCTAAGAGCTGACTAGGATCCAGGACAAACGGAATCAACTGCTTCAGCTGGTCCTTGAATTCGTTGGAGATGTCTGCGCAAAAAAGGGAAGGAGAAAGGTAAAAGAGGAAGAATGCAATGGGAATGGAGTTCTTTTTCCCCCTGTGAATTGTTTTATGGCCTTATAAAACACAGGCAAGACATTTATTATTGTAAGTAATAGCATCACCTACAATATAAAAAGTACTCGCACATCTGTGCTAGTCTAGTCGTTCCCGACTCTAGGGGGCAGTGCTCATCTCCGTTTCAAAGCCGAAGAGCCAGTGGCATGACTGTTCCCTTCCCACCAAAGGTGGTTCCTTTTCTCCTGCTCGCATTTTTTACCTGCTTTCGAACTGCTAGGTTGGCAGAAGCTGGGTCAAGTCACGGGAGCGCACTAGGGATTCGAACCGCAGAACTACCGACCTTTCTGATCGACAAGCTCAGCGTCTTAGCCACAGAGCCACCATGTCCAACTACAATATCGCATAGCATTCATGCGTGTAATGCTATGCGGAAAAGCCTTTTAGGAGACAGGGCAAAATATGCTGGCAAGGGAAAATTAGATGCATGCACAGACTTGCCAGGAGAAGGGAAGAGCTAAAGAACAGGGGTCGACTCGGGAGTAAGGCCACAGGTGGACGATGAATGGCCCCTCCCAGAGGGAATAAAAGAGGAGNCTGCTCTTTAGAAGGCCAGATCCTGAAGAGGAAACTCAAAGGCTTTGTTCCACCTAATGAGAAGGAAGAAGGACGCCCTGGAGAAGAGCCTCATGCTGGGAACGATGGAGGGCAAAGGAAAAAGGGGATGGCAGAGAAGGGGGAGGCTGGATGGAGTCACCCAAGCAGTTGGCGTGAGATTAAATGGACTCTAGAGGATGGGAGAGGACAGGAAGGCCTGGAGGAACGTTGTCCATGGGGTTGCGATGGGTGGGACACAACTTCCCAACCCACAACAACCTTTCTTGCCAGTTGCTAAGTGAATCTGGCTTCCCCATTGACTTTGTCAGAAGGTCACAAAAGGTGATCCCATGACCCCAGGACACTGCAACCGTCATAAATATGAGTCAGTAGCCAAGTGTCTGAATTTTGATCAGGTGACACGGGGAAGCTGCAACGATCATTAGTCTGGAGAACAGAAGTTGTAAGGTTTTTTTCGCTGCCGCTGTAACTTTGGACAATCCACCAGGACTATTCTGTGCAGGCATGAGATTTTCAGAAAATGACACAGACACCAAATAAATGCACACGCACACACCCTTCGCACCATTTCAGTATACCAGTCTTTTATTTTCGCAGTTGCAAAGTGGAATGCTTTCTTTTTGTGCTTTATAAATATAATTCAGCATCAACATCCTGACCACATTGGTCCACAGGGGGGGAACTTTTGTGACCGACAAAGTTGTCAAAAAGAGTTCTGAAAACAGCGAAAGGCGGAAACAGCCGGGGGAGAAGCATCCACTCCCTTTCCCCCCCCCCACCCGCCCCCCCCACCCTACACATATCTCTCTGGGTGTCTTGGACTGCAACTCCCAGAATCCCAAGGAGCCACGTCCAAAGAGAATTCTGGGAATTGTCCCTCGAACACGGCTCTCCATTTTCCACTCAACCCTTTGAAAGAAAACCCGGCCCTGCATTTTCTCCGTACGGTTTCCCAGCGCAGCCCAGGAGAAGGATAATTGGCTCAAGGTCAGTACCTGGCTATGTGTCTAAGACCACACTTTAGATTCCACACTCAGCTGTGTCAGGTACAAAATAAAGAATCACCTAAACTAGCTCATTCTAGGCGCAAAACCCCAACGTTGAAAAAGTTGGCATTTGAGAGATCAGAGACTTTTCTCTTCCCCGGAGAAAACAAAGCTGCATTTGGGAGCTTAGAGGCCTGTGATGTTGTGGGGGGTGACAATTCCCATAAACAAACAACACAAAACAAAAAAAAAAGAGGTAGAATGCAGCAACGACAAAAAACCTCTTGTGAAAATAAGACTTGCTGTGAAAGGAATGGCCACCAGAGGGCGATCGTGAGCATAAGCCAGGAAAGAACTCTACCGAGTTTTTGCTCCTTGCCTTCTAATGGCCCAAAAGACTTAAGCTTCGTGCTTTGCGATCAAGCGAGACTCCAGCAGCAAAAATAAGGCAAAAAAAGGTTAAAAAGGAAAAAAAGGCACCTTGAAGAATGCATAAAGCTATCCTCACCCTCTGGAGAAGCCGTAGTGATCGAGGGAGGCTAGAATGATTCAAAGCTTGGAGTAATAATAATTTTTGGTGCGAGGCCTATATAAGGGTTTCCGAGCAGGAGACGGGGGGAGGAAACAGAGGGTCCCAGAGGCACCCTGAGCTTTGGACAAGTTTGCCAGCTATGGGGCACATACCCTGCTACGGAGTTTTTTATGAATCATCCCAAGGTTGATTTAGTGGGCGACGAAGAAGGAGAAACAGTCGGACGTTAAACAGCGTGGCTGAGAATGGGGAAACAGCCTTCAGAGACAGAGAGGAGACCAAGGCCATTCACCCTCACAAGCTTGGGAAAAGCAGGGGGGGGAAAGGAGGGGGGAGGGTGAATTCTCCATACCAGTAAGTAAGGGCAACGCCACTGGTTACGTCTCAACCCAGTAAACCTAAGAGTGGGGTATATACAGATGCAAACGCCGGCACCGCATTCAAGGAACAGTGTCTTGACTACCCCTGGAAAACTCCCGACGTCCCGCACGGCTCACCCCCCGATCTGGACCGAGATCCCAAAGAGATCCAAGCGGGACCGCTAAGGAGATCCCCCCTCACATTTCGACGTTCTGGCGGTACAAGGTGAATTACAAGAACCAAAACGAAGCGGACACCACGTCGTACTGAAAGAGAGATACAGAGACACTGGCGGCGATGTGGGAGATGTTTAACGCGCCAACGGCCTCTCGTTTCTCCCTCAAATTCCGAGCTTCCTGAGACGTCTTTCTAAGGCAGTGGAGCTGCTGGCTGGACGCGATCCCTCTCGGTGTCAAAGCAGGCACCGTCCAGTTTTGAAAAGGCACTGGAAATAAAATAGCTTTCCTAATTTTCTTTGAACGATTTGGCTAGGCCCGCCGGGGCCCTTCAGCAGAATTCTTTCGAAGTTTGGCCAAACTTTCAACAAAAAGAAAAGCTGGGTAATTTAGGCACTCCGAGGTCGATGCCTGGGGAGGGCCGGGGGGAAGCTTTTTTTGGAGGGTGGGGGTGGGGGAAGGGGAGTTGGCATCTTCTCCTTGGTACAACCGACAAACCTCGAAAAACAAACGCCGGCAGCTGAAACGACAGTGGGGTTGATTTTTTTTTTCCCCTTTTCGTCACGGAAGGCACTGGCTGGCATGGAAATGGTTTTCGAGCGGCTGTTTCGTTTCCCCATTTAAAGTGCAGAAGGTTTCTTTCTTGAAGGGAGGGGAGGGGAAATGAAAAAAAGAAAAAAAACCCAGAGGAGGGGGGGTCCATCAAAGGAAGGTGAGCGGGAAGAATGGAGCAGAGATCCCCCGCCTGACTTAAAAGCTGTCTATGCAGAAGCTCTGCAGAAGCGATTCCTGGATCGGAAAGCCGACGGTTTCCACCATCAAGGATGACGTCTTGGGAGTTCGCCTGGTTCACTGAGACTTCTTCTGCGGTGGTGGGGACGGGGGCTGCTCTCTGGAGGGGGCTGCATGGACAGGAGACCTGGAGAAGGTAAGCCCACAGGTGAGAAGATGCTCAGGTTAGGGGGAAATTTCACACCCAAGAGTTTAATCATTTCGTGGTTTTTTCCCCCGATAGTCCTCACACTTAAGATCACAATTCAGCAGAGTCAGCCTCTTGGTCCCCAACGATCTGGGTCCTCATTTGACCAACATTGGAAGGATGGAAGGTTGAATCAACCTTGAGCCAATCAGAATCAAACTGCTGGCAGTGGGCAGAATTATCCTGCAATACTGTATTCTAACCTCTGGGAAGAGGAGGAAGGAAGGAAGGAAGGAAGGAAGGAAGGAAGGAAGGAAGGAAGGAAGGAAGGAAGGAAGGAAAGTTGGTTGATGAAGGGAGGGAGGGAAGAAGGAAGGGGAGGAAGGAAGAGTGGTGGAGGGAAGGAAGGAGGGAAGCAGGAAGGGTGACAAAGGGAGGGAGTGAGAGAGAGAGGGAGAGAGTGAAGAAGGAAGGAAGATAGCAATAGCACTTAGACTTATATACCGCTTCACAGTGGTTTACAGCCCTCTCTAAGTGGTTTACAGAGTCAGCCTCTTGCCCCCAACTATCTGGGTCCTCATTTAACCGACATTGGAAGAATGGAAAGTTGAGTCAACCTTGAGCCAATCAGAATCAAACTGCTGGCAGTGGGCAGAATTATCCTGCAATACTGTATTCTAACCCCTGGGAAGAGAAGGAAGGAAGGAAGGAAGGAAGGAAGGAAGGAAGGAAGGAAGGAAGGAAGGAAGGAAGGAAGGTAGGTTGATGAAGGGAGGAAGGGAAGAAGGAAGGGGAGGAAGGAAGAGTGATGGAGGGAAGGAAGGAGAGAAGAAGGAAGGGTGACAAAGGGAGAGAGCGAAGAAGGAAGGAAAGAAGATAGCAATAGCACTTAGACTTATATACCGCTTCACAGTGGTTTACAGCCCTCTCTAAGCGGTTTACAGAGTCAGCCTCTTGCCCCCAACAATCTGGGTCCTCATTTGACCCACCTCGGAAGGACGGAAGGCTGAGCCAACCTTGAGCCGGTCGTCCCCCTCCATTCCCCCTCCCCCTGTTTGACTAAGCCAAATACCTACCGTATAGCCCGTATCTTCTGCATCACGAACTCCGCCGTGTTGTCAATCACAATGCCCAGTTCGCGGTATTCGCCCGAGTAGCGGATGTAGCCCCAGGCTAGCAGGGAAAGGAGCAACAGCCCCACTATTAAGTTGCACAACTGGGCAATCAAGCTCAGTCCAATGTGGTCGGTGACCCCCGAGGTCACGTAGAGCACCACGATGATGCCGAAGAGGATGGCGGGCGTCCGGAAAGTGTTGAAGATGTTCTTGCTCTGGTTATGCTTGGCCAGGTCTGCAAAGAGGTCGCTCAGCTCCTGCATCAACTCGTCCTCGTAACGTTGGCTGAACTCCCGGCCGCCCATCTTCTTGATGCGGCGGAAGTGCTCCAGAGCCCGCGAGTTCTGCTCCTGGTGCTTCGCCTCCAGCAATTCGGGGGCCACATAAGGTTTGTCTCCGCCGCAGATCTGGAGGGGAAGGGAGGAAGCGGCCGGTTTAGCTACCGGGCTCAGTAAAGAGGGCTGGGAGGGCCGGTTCGGTGGGTGGTTCTAAGCGGCAGGCTAGAAACTGGGCAATCGTGAGTTCTAGTCCTGCCTTAGGCATGAAAACCAATTAGTTTGACTTTGGCCAATCCCCAGGAAAGAGTGAGTTCTAGTTCCAGCCGGGTGGATTTCGGCCAATCATTGTGAGATTGTGAATTCTAGTCCTGCCTTAGGCATGAAAGCCGGCTGGGTGACTTTTGGCCAATCACCAGGAGACAGTGAGTTCTAGTTCCACTTTAGGCATAAAAGCCAGTGGGAGACTTTGGACCAATCGCCAGGAGACGGTGAGTTCTAGTCCCGCCTTAGGCATGAAAGCCTGTGGGAGATTTTGGACCAGGAGACAGTGAGTTCTAGTCCCTCCTTAGGCATGAAAGCTGACTGGGTGACTTTGGGCCAATCACCAGGAGATGGTGAGTTCTAGTCCTGCCTTAGGCATGAAAGCCTATGGGAGACTTTGGACCAATCGCCAGGAGACGGTGAGTTCTAGTCCCGCCTTAGGCATGAAAGCCTGTGGGAGATTTTGGACCAGGAGACAGTGAGTTCTAGTCCCTCCTTAGGCATGAAAGCTGACTGGGTGACTTTGGGCCAATCACCAGGAGATGGTGAGTTCTAGTCCTGCCTTAGGCATGAAAGCCTATGGGAGACTTTGGACCAATCGCCAGGAGACGGTGAGTTCTAGTCCTGCCTTAGGCATGAAAGCCTATGGGAGACCTTGGACCAATCAACAGGAGATGGTGAGTTCTAGTCCCTCCTTAGGCATGAAAGCTGACTGGGTGACTTTGGGCCAATCACCAGGAGATGGTGAGTTCTAGTCCTGCCTTAGGCATGAAAGCTGACTGGGTGACTTTGGGCCAATCACCAGGAGATGGTGAGTTCTAGTCCCTCCTTAGGCATGAAAACCATCTGGGTGACTTTGGCCCATTTGCCTTTTTTCCGGCCCTGGAAACACGGAAACAATGTGAAAACATTTCTTGGCTCCAAAAAAAAAAACCCCTCAACAACATTCTCTACAGAGTCAGCAGGAGTCAAGAACGACTCCTGGGCAGCCCATGCAGGTGGGTAAATGCCTCCCTATCCCCCCCCCGCCCCCCCACCCCCACCTTTTCCATGCTGCTGTAATACAGGTCTTTGGCCGAAGCGACAGCAGCCAGATTGTTGGCTTCTGCTGTGGCCTGAAAAGGAGGAAAAACAACTTCAGAAACAAACCGGTTGAGTTTTCCCACCCTCTGCTAAGAGTTAGGAAAACTTTAAAAAGAAAAAAAAGGGGGGGGGGGCAGGGGGGGAATTGGCAGGTTGCATTTGGAGGCTTTGTTAAGCTTGCATAAATTTTACATTTCTTACCCAAACCTTTTCTCACGTTTCCATCATTATTAAAGTTATCAATGCCTTTCTACCATTCTTCCATATTTGCATCTTTTTGTAAAAATATTGGTATCATTTGAAAAAGAAATAAAAACTTAAGCAAAACGTTCATTTTTACTACTGTTATCCTTTCCCAGCAAAGACTATTATATAATTTCTCCCATTTATTCGGTATCTCTGTCTATATATTTTGTGCCATAATGGTTCATAATTATACTTATGTAATTTGGAGGTTTAATGCCGTGTTTTTTTTTCCCCTGTAAGGTAAAGTTTCCCTAGGCACATTATGTGCTAGTCGTGCCTGACTCTAGGGGGCGCTGCTCATCTCCGTTTCAAAGCCGAAGAGCCAGCGCTGTCCGAAGACGTCTCCGTGGTCATGTGGCCGGAATGACTCAACGCCGAAGGCCTACGGAAGGCTGTTCCCTTCCCACCAAAGGTTTCTACTTTTCTAACATGCTTTCGAACTGCTAGGTTGGCAGAAGCTGGGACAAGGAACGGGAGCTCACTCCGTTATGTGGCGCTAGGGATTCGAACCGCCGAACTGCCAACCTTTCTGATCGACAAACTCAAGTGTTTTAGCCACTGAGCCACCGCATTCCCCCCACCTTTTTCTGTACAGTGCTGTAATTTTATTCAATATTGCGACTGGAGCCAGCTCTGCAGGCTTTGTCGAGGCAATAGTTACTACTCGACTTACGACCAAAATTTCTGTTGCTAGGCGAGACACTTAAGTGGATTTGCCCCAGTTAACGACCCTTCTTGCCACCACTGTTAAGCCAATCACTTCAGTTAAGTTAGGAGCATGTGGGCTGTTAATGGAATCTGGGGCTTCCCCCATTGATTTTACTTGTCGCAAAAGGGGATCACACGATGCAGCGGCGCTGCGACCGTCGTAAATACGAGTTAGTTGCCAAGTTTCAGAATTTTGATTACGTGACCAGGGGAGGATGCTATAAAAGTCGTAAGTGTGAAAAACGGCCACAAGCTGCTTTTTTCAGTTTTGTTAACTTCGGCCACTAAATGGACTGTCGTAAGTCGAGGATTACCTGCAATCACCACCCTGAATTGAAACAAGAAGTCAGTGATTTAAATTGTGGCCCGCCAGTGGAGCTGGCAGCCAATTCAGGCAGTGAGGAGGGTTGGGGAGGAAGATGGGCCAGTCCTGGAGTCTGGGGAAGGCTCTGAGGAGGGCTCTGTGTCGGAGGCAGAGAGGGGGCCAGGGCTGTCTGACAGTTCTCAGCTGCCTTCGGAGTCAGACATCAGTGAGGCAGAACAGCTGGAGCCTGTTCCCAGTGTGCGCATGCAGAGTCCCCAGATGAAGGGAACAGCTAAAGAACAGGGGTCGACTTGGGAGGAAGGCCATATGGGGACGGTGAATGGCCCCTCCCAGAGGAAGTAAAAGAGGAGCGAAAGGGGACGGGGCTTTTGCAGGAAACAATTCGGTTGGTTGGTCGTTTTCAGGAGTGTGAAGATCTGTCCGTGAATCTCAGAGACTCTGTGCCCAGAGTCTTTCCTTGCACAGCACCTCATTTGNGTGGGTAAAATGAGGACCCAGATTGTTGGATCTAAACCGCTTAGAGAGGGCTGTAAAAGCCCTGTAAAGTGGTATATAAGTCTAAGTGCTAAGTGGGGAGGGAGGGAGGGGTGGGGGGCATACTGGCACAATGGTTAGAATGCAATATGGCAGAGTGACTATGCCCATTGCCAGCAGTTCAAATCTCACCAGGCTCAAGGTTGACTCGGCCTTCCATCCTTCCGAAGTGGGTAAAATGAGGACCCAGATTGTTGGATCTAAACCGCTTAGAGAGGGCTGTAAAAGCCCTGTAAAGTGGTATATAAGTCTAAGTGCTAAGTGGGGAGGGAGGGAGGGGTGGGGGGCATACTGGCACAATGGTTAGAATGCAATATGGCAGAGTGACTATGCCCATTGCCAGCAGTTCAAATCTCACCAGGCTCAAGGTTGACTCGGCCTTCCATCCTTCCGAAGTGGGTAAAATGAGGACCCAGATTGTTGGGGGCAAGAGGCTGATTCTGCAAACCGCTTAGAGATGGCTGTGAAAGCACTGTGAAGCGGTATATACAGTAAGTCTGCTATAGCTTGGGAAGGAAGGAAGGAAGGAAGGAAGGAAGGAAGGAAGGAAGGAAGGAAGGAAGGAAAAGCCATAGTGGTGCAGGTATTACAATGCAATGTTGCAGGCAAACACTGCATTCCGACTGCCAGCAGTTCGATCCTAACCGGCTCAAGGTGGACTCAGCCTTCCGTCCCTCCAAGATGGGTAAAATGAGGACCCAGATTATTGGGGGCAAGAGACTGACTCTGTAAATCTCTTAGAGAGGGCCATAAGGCACTATAAAGTGGTATATAAGTCTAAGGGCTATTGCTAGTGCTATTTAGGGTTCAGATCTGTGACCTGGAAGGACTGAGAATCTCCGTAGAGCCTCCTCTCTCTTCTTCTTCTTCTTCTCTTCTTCCTCTTTTATTTCATGCATGCGTTGCTTGTCCCTGTGGGTCTGTATTTGTCCCTGGGAATGTCAAGTCTTGAAACGCAACCTCCCAGGATGAAAAAGCGAGAAGGATGTCGAAAACTAAGTCCAGGGAGGTTCCTGCCAGGCCAACGGAAGGCAGTGAGAAAATGCTGGAGGGATCCATGCAGGTCAGCGGCGCAGCTTACGGGGATCCCGAAAACTCAGTCACGGGGTCCATGAACATCCAGGGCCCGGCCAGCAGCTACGCGGGGAAGTCCGTGGTGGGCTCCCTGCACATCAAAGGAGGCAAGACCCTGATGGGTTCCATGCAAATCAAAGGACCAACAAACAACATCTCAGGGTCATCGATGACAGGTTCCATGAAGGTCAGAGGGCTGGCGAGCGGTCTTTCAGCGCAGGAAGCAGGAAGTTCTGTAAGTTTGCTGAAACCGTGAGAAATCAATCAGCGGGGTTTTGTTCTGGGTGTTGTGGGGAGCTGGCAGCAGATTCGGACAGTGAGGAGGGTTGGGGAGGAACCTGGGCCAGTCCTGGAGTCTGGGGAAGGCTCTGAGGAGGGCTCTGTGTCGGAGGCAGAGAGGGGGCCAGGGCCGTATGCCAGCTAACAGCTTCTCACAGATTGGGGT